ATTCAAGTATGTTCTTTGAAAAAATGAAAACTGAGAAATCGATTCTTTCAAAAAACAAAAAAACATAAAAAAAAAGCACGATTGACAGAAAATTAAGCAATAGTGTCATCGTTATTGTGTTTGCATCGTCTGCTGTAAGCTACAGATGGCGGCTTTTCAATTTCATGATGGAAATAGCACGTTAGCATTTACCGCTGTTTGCTCTTTGACATTATGGGCCGGTTATTTACTCAAGGGCAGAGTAATCCAAACCACGATTTTACCACATCCAAACGTTTCTGTTTAATCTTTTAAAGTTGTAGGATAGTATATTTTAATATGTTAAGAGAAGTTGTGGGCCCTTAATGTACTTACTCATTTTCTCATTAAAAAAACATGGCGAACTTATATCTGCCTTTCACCCAGAATAGTTTTGCGAGGCGTATCACTAACAAAATTTCGTTTTTCACAAATAAAGGAATTTACCAGAGTGGCAATTATTCCGCTTTGCGCGGAACTTAAAAGCTAAGCGCCGTAGAAAAGCCTTGTAAAACTAAATAAGATAAGTTAACAGTTTCCTAATTAACATTCATGTCTCTTAGCCTAAGTAAGGTATTTATAAGAAAATGGAAGCAGTTCCTCTCCTTACATAAGCATGTTATTGAACATTATCATTCCGAAGTAGGGTGAAAAGAAAAACTTTTCGAGCCAATTTTGCGTACAAATTCAGGTCATTCCCGTAGGTGGGCAATATCTGTATACACGTTTTCAACTTCAAACAGAACCGTTAATTACCCGCGGCTATTTAAATTAAACCGAGTTCCAGAAAATTTTGTTTAAATTTTACATACGCGAAAAACAGTTACCGAGTCACCTGTTGTCAAAAAGAAAAGAAGAAAAATTAACATTTTCCTGATATGAAATTAACCACCAACGAAACAGAAGAACATCTTTGTCATAACAAGTTAAGCCTCCACGATTTTTATCTTTTTAGATTAATTTTTAACGGAATCTAATTTTTAGGGCATCATAAACTTTTATAAACTTTGACTTTTATTTTTCTCCAAGAGAAAACAAACGCCTTTTTTGACACAGCGTATGACTTCTTTTGTCTAAACATCATATCTGCTTCAATTGCAATTAAGAGGCAATTTTTTAGCATCCTTAAAAGACTAAAGATTTTGTGTGGAGGAAGTTCAAAGTATAATGAAAAAATGCATTTCCGTAACAACAAACCAAAAATTTTTCGCAACATTAGGCCTCAATTTGATATCTGAGCGCTATTCCAGCGAATTAATCAGTAATAAATTCTCTGAAATGGCACTCGCTTATTTTTCTGTTGACCGGCTTCATTTGTCTTAACGGAGGCAAAGTCGAATACCCTACAATATTATCGTATTCTGCATTTAATAAACTATTTATTGTTATTAACTCTATTTTAGTTTCATGTGAAACATCGCGTTTGAGAATGAAAGGAGAAAATTTCGCAACATTTGGCCTCAATTTAATAACTAACCGCCATTCCAGCGAATTGATCGGTAATTAATTCGCTGGAATGGCGCTCGGTCATTTTTCTGTTGACCGACTTCATTCGCCATTTACAGTTTTATCGTGTTGTGTATTTAATAATCTATTTATTGTTATTTACTCTATTTTGGTTTTATGAGAAAAATCGGTGTAAATTTTTTTCTCTGACGGCACTCGCTAAGGTGCGGAGTAACCTTAAAGGCAAAGACAGAAACAATGGCAAGAATAGTAAACTTTTGTTATTGATAGATACAAGACCACTTTCATCCGTCACTCGGGTAAAAGGAAGGAATCTATCCTAAAACCCTCATTCAAAGTTTTTTAGTTTGCAGGAATCAATACGTTTCTTCCCCAATAATTACAGTTAAGAATATTCTAACTTATAGTAATTATCTTCAACCCACAGAAACTCGTAACGATTTGAATTCTGAGTATAGGCAGAATTCGAGACAGAATCTACTTTCAGTGGACAAGTTCCATTATCTAAATGTACCCCGAATTGACATGATCATACTATATGATGACTTTGAATGCATCTTAAAATGTCTTGACCGATCCTCTCTGCGTTTCTGTGAACTTTGCCGCAAAGGAAAAAAGTGGTGTGTGTTATTGTCATGTAACAAGTTCAACAACCCTGAAAAACTCAAAGAAAGCAAGAG